CTACTCCTGCCTCTATCTCGTTCTTGTGCTCTTTACCCAATTTGATTTTGCTTCCAAAAACCAGTCCACAAGACCCTGAGTCCTTCTGCAAATCCTGCTTGCCTCCAGTACTTTGCACAGCCAACCACTCTCTGTTACCCCAGACCAGGGTTTCCCAAAGTGTGTGTTGGGACTTCAGGTTGTGGGCTGAAATTTCAGGTTTGCGAGTTTCAAGGCAGCAATGGCTGACCACCTCCCCCTCCCTCACCCCTAGCTCTCACTGACTTTCTTCTTCTCCTCACGCCCCCACTGCTCCCTGAGAGTTGTAGCAAATTTTAATCTTCAAAATGAGGTCATGGCGGGAAATAGTTTGGGAAGCGAGGTCCTAGACAGTGAATCGTACTGTTGGACTGGACTGGGCAGGGAATGACATTAGTTGATCATGATTCTGACCACATCACCCACTAGTGTCCCTGGACAGCAACTGGGATGATGTAATAGAGTTAAAATATTATCAATATATTGAGACTTCTCAAATCGCTACCCAGCAAGTGCATCATGTTTGATCACTCGGGAACCATATATTGATATGATAGTACACAGACTGTGTGATCCAGTGAGCAAAATAACTCTTGGATTAAAAACAAAGCAAGATGGATGATGGAGTGGAAAATTTCAGCCTGTGTTCTTATTGCTCAGCGCTGTTGAGTGAGTCCTGCATGAAACATGAAAGTGGGCACATTGAATAAAGGCAGAGTTAAACTCAGCTGTTGTTACCTTCCTATTTGTCCTTTTCCCTGATCCTATTCTGTGAGGAGCACATTTTATATTACCCCAGCCAAAACCGATATGTGAACCTGATGATGGCTATTCAGATGTAGGTGAGAAGTCAAATCTGAGCCTGACTCCATCCTCACTACTCTCTAGCAGGTTGGGATTTGAGTCTTAACCATTGCAGTGTTTCAGTTTAACCAACTTAAAATTTTGAGGAACCCCTTCCCAAACCAGTGCTGCCCAGGCTAAGAAACTAAATTGATACCTTTCTTAGTTTTATTTTTTCATGGGACTTGAG